GAAACATATCTTTGTGTATTATGGTAGAGAAATTAATCATATACCACGCAACAAAAGATAGTAAAAATATTTGGTTTCTGATCCTAAACCAATTGTGAAGGGAGGACTTATCATATATTGTTGATATGATGCATCCAAGTGCTGTTATATGCAATTCAGAAAATCTTAGACCAACACATGAAGTTTTGTTCTCATAAGAAATGGTTTAGCCATTAATAGGAGGTATTCAATGCTAAACTAGCTTGGATATAAACCAGCATCATCAAGATGAACTGTCTTAATTTCATAATATGAAAATTATGCTCTTGATCGAGAAAAGCAATTCCAAATGCCAAACTGCAGGTTGACAATAATTACACATGTAACCATCTCATATATGCACCTATAAGTGGTTCACATGATAGGTGAACGGACCCATATTCACCTTTTATATATTTCAGAATCAGGGGTCTTAGTCCCAACTTTAGCTGGTATAATCAATTCATTATGAGAACAAGCAACACATGAGAATTCCTGAAGAATCTTCTAGTTCTTTAGTATATGCTTATCTGAATTCTCAAATAGCTCATTTAAAAATGGCAAATGAAAACTTCAAGTTTATCATGTCATGTGCTATCTCTTAGTAAACTTCTGGTTTACTATGGCATAAACTTTTGCTTTAGTAAACTTCTGGTTTACTGTGATACATGATATAGTACAAATTAAAGAATAAGGCGGGTAACTTCTCACATACATATTATTTTACCCCCTATGATTGTGGAAACATGAAGATTATCAATCTTCCAATCATTTGTAGTCTCAATATGATAGCCATTTGTATTAGTAAACTTCAGGTTTACTACAACATATGTTTTGACCATAATCATATAATATGAATGACATATTTGTATATAAGCTCTTCGAGAGCCTTCATTTATTATCCACAATCTAATATTTATCGGGCACTACTGGTGTCATGTATCCTTTAGGCAAACATTTAGCTCTTCAGGAGTTGTTGATACATTTTGTACTATCAAATATTTCTCATTCACTTCTGGTATCATGAGAGAAAATCACAATCAAATAAACAATGTAATACAATTGTTTAAGCACAAGAAAACTCTTCTTCATAATATTTTCCTACTTCATGAGGCAATTTCAATTGTGTTACTTCTTCAGGAGCAAATTTAAAATACGAAATATTGAGTATATATTCTCTCAATTATATTACCTCTTCTGGAGGTGAATTGTAATGTATTCACATCAAGAGCGCGTTCATATTTACCCGACTTATTAGTATTGTCACATTCACTTCAGGGAATGGATTAATATTATCAAAAGTTCTCATCCTTCAGGAAATCGAACATAATTATCNTTGATAACGTGTTACAAAATAAAGACTGTAAAGTAAAGACAAGTATAGAGAGAAACTGATATATTATTCGAATTCAAACTGATGTACATAATGAACTGAAATCTCTTCTATTTATAGAAGAAAGGAAGTTGTTGTGTAAGATGTTACTCAAGCTGTTGTGTAAGCTGCTACTACAAGCTACTGTGTAAGCTGCTGCTGTACCAGATATGGATAATCTTCTACTGAGAACAATGTTTATCCATAACGGAGTACTGAATGGATAAGCTTATTATACCCGGTATGGATAATTTTCTACCTAGGGTAATGTTTATCCATAACTGGGTACCGAAGTGATAAGCTTCTTCAGGAAGCTTATTTCCAATAGAGTACTAAATAGATAAACATATTTACGGTGGAGTCCCATATGGATAAGCTTCTTCAGGAAGATTATTTACAACGGAGTACTAAATGAACATCCATAATATAATATATTTATAACAAAGCCCACAATTGTAGCTACAAATTTCCTTTTTTTCCGTAATATTCCAAATATTTGGCAGTAATCTCACAATTCTGGAGCAGGTTTTGTTCAAAAAAATAGATTACATGTCTGCATAATTGGAAAAAGGAAAAATACATAGTATAAGACTATAAATTAATCACAATCTAATGCAAAAGAATTATTTAAAAGCAAATATCATCAACTATATACGCTTTTTTCCCCTTGATCCTTGTACGGTGGCGGTGGATGACAAGAACCAATGAATATATCTCTTTTAACCTTAACAACATATACGAAAAGAAAGTTACTGAATTTTGCGCTCGCTAAATTCACTTAAGTGCAAATATTTCTTTTTTTGATTATAGCTCGTATATGTTGTGCTTTAGATGTCAATTGTTTAACATTAGAGAGATTTAAATATTTATTTGTGAGAAGCTGAAAAACAAAAGTTTAGCATATTATTTCTCTAAATTTGAAATGAGTTCGCGAGACTAAAATAATAAGCATTTAAACAATGAAGGAAAATAAAATAGTGATCTCCAATACGTCATCCAAATATTTGGAAAATCATTTACAAAAATATGGAAATTTGCTGCTACCAATTGTGAGATTACCAAATCTTTTGAGAGCAAGTAAATGAGAGAATCTATTATCTAACTATGGTTAAGAGCTTAATTTAATTAATTACATTTAAATCATTGATAGTAAGATGAGACACATGTCATGCATCTAAGTGAGAACTTGGGGAAATGGA